ACCCTGGGATCATGACCTGAGCTGAAGGCAGACGCTTAACCAACTGAGCCACCCAGGTGCCCAAAAAAGGTAATTTTTAAAGAATTAAAAACACTGATCTTTAAAATCAGATATATTGTCTTTTTATAAAATATCTAGGCATGTGCCAGTCTAAGACTAGGCAAGAAAGGGTCTAATAACACCTGAACCAATTCACTCAATTCTACTACTTGGACATAGTTTATAGGAAAATGAAATAAGGGAGTAGACATTAAGTTCAGTGCCTATAAACAATGCTAGAAAAATAAACTGGATTGGGATTTTATTAGAATATTTTTCTTGGCAATTTTCTAATCTCTTCTCCCACTCAGTTCCTTCTCCATCATTTGGCTGATTCAATCTGTACCAAAGTGGTAGAAAAATAAACGAGAAGAAGTCTCCAATATTTGGGATAATCAAAAGAAGAAGGAACAATGCTTTGAAAATATATATGGTCTTAATTAACACATTGCTTTTACTTTGAAATCAATCTAAAGCTGTTATGGCAAGAGCTGCATTTCCTTTTTCAACAAAATGTTCTGTTTATCAGTGTGACAGTCCGTAGTTATTGGTTGGAAACCAACTACTAGTAATACAAGTAATGCATCATTACTCATTTTCCTGACCTTCCGATGGCCTGTTTTAGCTTCTTTGCAAGAGGCTGCATGTTAAGTTTTGATTGTAAGGTGCTGATCATATGGACCTTCCTCTGGAGGTCCCACTGTGTAATTTTGTCAACGGTTCCCTGAGTCTTTTCCCAAGACCTCACATGAAAAATTAACAGGAAACACCCATTCTCTGGAAATTTCCTTCATGCAATCAGTAACCTAAAACTAAGGACCTTTACTAAATAATGGGAAGAGGGTTTCAACCCACATCAGGCAAACCTAAACATCTGCTTTCAGTTTCTGCTTTGAAGTTTCGATTTTTTCCAATTGAAAAAAAAAAAAAATCAAACCATCACAACCTTTGTGGTGCCAACAATTTCACTGCTTTAGTATGTAAAAAGAGCTGGGGCAAGGGATAAAAGCTAGGCATGTGCATGACTATGAATGGATAGATGTGGCTTTATCTAGATATTGTTGTTTCAGTGCTCGCTTCGGGCAGCACATATACTAAAATTAGATATTGCTGTTTCAAACTTAACTGGTGATTGTTCCTCTTAAACATTTCTTGATTAATGCATCATCTTTGTGAGAATATAAACACGTGGGAGTAGTTACAGTAGGAGGGTCATTGGCACATTTGGGGATCGCTGACCTAAAAACAGGGAATTCCAGAGTTTTCAGAATCACAGGCCAGTCTTCTGTAAATGAAGTTGACAATTTCTCTTGGGAGAGATTTGAGAGTTCTCCAAATATCCACTTTGTCAAAAACTTCTATCTACCTGAAAATCTTAGCTTTAGAGAAGATCACTATGATGTGAGAACACCTTTCCCAAGAGGAACAGGACTCTGACATTTCATTCACCTGGGCTTGGTTCATCAGATGATCTCTAATAGCCTGGCAGGAGAAACGTTCCTCTCGTCTGAACTTTGCACACAGTGCTGGGAGGAGAGGCTTAATCATGGGTGAGGAAGGTACTGTACCATGGGACCCAGGAAACAGGGCGGGGCTAGGATGGCAGAAAGGCTGAGCCACGGCTGTTTGTTGCGAAAGGGCCCACAAGAGGTCTCCATCTCCAAGGAGTAGCCACCGGTCGTGGACACACCTAGCCTGTGTTTGAGCACATAGCCCCAGAGCCCAGTTCCCTTGGTTTGACTCCTAGCTCCTGCCTTCTCTGGGCATTTGTCCTCAACCTAATACTTAACTCCTCTGCCTCAGTTTGCCCATTTATAAAGCTGGGATAAGAATAGGGTTTTTATGAGGTTTAAATGAGCAAATACATGTCAAAAGATTAGTGCCTGACATATATTTGGCCTATTTGCATGCATGTATTTATTTATTTATTTATTTATTTATTTGAGAGAGAGAGAGGGAGAGGGAGAGAGAATCTGAGGCAGACCCCGTGCTGAGCACAGAACCCAATGAGGGACTCAATCCCACAACCCTGAGTTCATGACCTGAACCGAAACCAAGAGTCAGATGTTTAACCAACTGAGCCACCCAGGTGCTCCTGTTTGCTATTATTTTTTAAAATTCACCACCAGAATGTTTAAAATCTTTTACTGAGTTAAAAAGATATTTTTTCCAGGCCATACCTCCGAACTTCTAACGTGTATACTGTGATCGAAAGAAGCAAGTTGGAATGGCCCATTGTAGCAACGCCTGTGATCTTGAATATGTGGTCTATAAATGGAATTAAATCAGAAGCACATTTCTAATGACCAAGGAAACTGCTTTTAAGGGGAACAATTGTTGAATTCTGGTAAAGAAGCCTTTGCCACTACCCGTCCTAGGACTAGTGCACGATCATCGAGCATTTAACATAATCTCGGCTGGAACTAAACCCTTTATATGGACATTTATTTATTTTGTTGGGATTATTTCATGTCATCATCAAAAGAATATTAAGGGCCAGATACCATTATCTTTATTTTGCAGATGTGGAAACTGAAGCACTAGAGTTTAAATCTAGTTTGTTGACAGCCCACAGGTAGTAGGCCAGGGAGCCAATAGTCAAGCCAAGGTAATGTGATTCCAGAAGCCATGCTCCTGGTAACAAAATGACATCGTTTCCATTCCTAAATTGACTTACTGCCCAAGTTGGGTGATATTGAAGTTTTGATTTGCTTACAATGAGTAGAGCTACTGTCAAATTAAGACCAAATTATCTAACAGTGTATTACCAATACTCACATATATTCGACCAGGAAAAAACCATACATGTCTACATTTAGGGTACTCCTTCCTCTGGGTACGTATTAACATAAGGATAATCCACTAACTCCTCTTTTTTTTTTTTCCTTGGGGACGGGGGAGGAAGAGAGGGAGAGAGAGAATCTGAAGCAGGCTCCATGGAGGCTGATACCAGGCGCGATCTCACGACCCTGAGATCATGAAATCAAGAATCAGACGCTTAACTGACTGAGCCATCCAGGAGCCCCCTAACTCCTTTTCTGTATTGCAACATAGAGTCTGGACTTTTGCAAAAACAATGAACTCATAATAAAAGTTGCTATATCAGTGCTGTATATTATGTAACAGTAATTTATGTGCATACAAATGTATTTTACAATGTAACATTTTATAATGCTGCATGCTAATTGGATGGGATTCTCAATTTTGTTTGCATGACTTTCCCATGCACATAAGAGTGAATTTGGGGCCATCCTTTAAGCAGTGTGGTTAAGAGCCTGTTAAGATTGGGGGGCGCCTGGGTGGCTCAGTCGTTAAGCGTCTGCCTTCGGCTCGGGTCATGATCCCAGGGTCCTGGGATTGAGCCCCGCATTGGGCTCCCTGCTCCATGGGAGGCCTGCTTCTCCCTCTCCCACTCCCCCGCTTGTGTTCCTGCTCTCGCTCTCTCTCTCTCTAATAAATAAATAAAATCTTTAAAAAAAAAAAAAAAGAGCCTGTTAAGATCAATTTTCAACAGAGACATGGCTATCTATTTTACAAAGAATCAAAGCAGAATGGAAAGGGCTGGACAAATATACAGTGAACGACCCAAACACAGTTTTCTCTTAAATAAACACTCCGGTGAGAGATGAAAAAAAAAAATTCAGCTGCAGAATGGGTAGTAACAAAATGAATGGTTTCAAGGTATCAAACAGAACATTGTGAGGAATTTGAGGTTTCAAAGAATAAAGAAAAATTTGTTTTACCCAAGAATATGCCTAAAGCTGGAGGGTCAAAGAAAAACAGAAGTCTTCTTGACATAAGAAATGTTTGTGTTGATGTGGGATTTATAATTTCAAAATGCTGCGGGACAATATAGAAAATGTGGGCTGCAAAGAGCTATCGTGCTGCATGCTTAGGGACGTTGCCTTCATTTGGACATGAATAACACATTGTGGGGGCGCCTGGGTGGCTCAGTCAGTTAAGCATCTGACTCTTGATTTTAGCTCAGGTCATGAGCTCAGCGTCAGGAGACTGAACCCCACGTTGGGCTCCATGCTCAGCAGGGGAGTCTGCTTGAAATTCTCTCTCTCTCCCTCTCCCTCTTTCCCTCAGTCAGCTCACACACTCTCTAAAATAAATAAATAAATAAATAAATAAATAAATAAATAAATAAATAAATAAATAAATAAATAAATAAATAAATAAATAAAACAAAATCTTAAAAAAAATAACACATTGTGGTTTCAAGGGGGTTCAATGATCAGGAAGGAAGATGACTCCAGGTTTATTCTGGGCAGTTCTTGCTTTGATTCTTAGGCTTGGGGCCAGGGGTGGGTATGCAGAGGTGAGTTGCTCGCTTTCTGAGACAAGTGTTTTCCTGAGGCTTTTGTATGCACAGCATTTGTGCATCTACCTTCACAGAATTTCAGATTACAGAGTAGCTGGCCCTTAGCACACAGCTCTTTGAAATGGCACGAATATCAATAACCATAACTAACTTTATTGAGCATCTACTATGCGCTCAGGTGAACTAAGGTCTCTACCTATATTACCTCAATTCGAATCTCGCAATGCACTTGAGAGGTACTTGTCTTACTGAGCGTTCCCCCAAGGAGAACCTGAAACAAGGGCTTGGGTGCAGGGGGTTTATTTGGGAGGTGATCCCAGGAGGCAGGCGTGGGGGAAGGAGGAGAGCAAGACAGGGAGGGGGGGAAAAGCTAAAGATGGTGCCTCAATGGTCAGGAAATCACCGTCGGTAAGGGGCTCAGTCCTGCTGGGGACATCTGGGGGCCAATGTAGAACACAGCTCAGAACTGTCCCATCCTGCGACCATCTGGGGTATTTATCCAGACCCCTGGTGCCCACTGGTTGAAGGATGCCCTTGCAAAGGGGCTGAGCAGTACTCTAGAGAAAGCGCAGGGCCACGTGCAGGGAGCCCACGGCACTGGGGCTAAGGATCCGCATGGAACTGTCCACCCTGCCTTGCTGAAACTAGGGAGCGTCCAGAGACTGAGGCCTGGCTCGTCACACGCTGCACAGGAGGAAACTGAGTTTAGAGAGGTTAAGACAACTTACTAAAGGTCACAGCCAGGAGGGGGCAGAGCTCAGATTCAGATTCAGGCTTTCCTAGGTCCTGAGCCTCAGCTGTTGACCATTACCCCAAACGGCCCAAGACAAGTGAGGCTGGAATATACATGTTCACGTTTGGTGGCGTGAAGGAGCCCTTGACCATCATCCAACACAGAACGATGATTTACTCAGTTTCCTCTCTGGGGGCCTCTCCACATTACGCATCCCTCCTCCCGATCCACCCATGTACAGCCCTGCACAGTCAGCCAATCTCTCTCTCTCTGTCTTTGAATAAAGTTCCGGAAGGAGATCATGAGCACACTGTGCACAGAGGGATAGACACCACAGCATCGAGTTGCTGGAGGCTGAGTGGCTCTGTAATCCCACCTTTAGCCCAAGGCAGGAATCCTGCCAAGGGCCAAGAGTAAAGAGCCAGGCCTGGAAGGCTGTGTGATGGAATGTGCCCCTTGGCAGGGCTCCAGGGTCCACTCTCAGATACCTGGCCGTCATTCGTAAGAGAGAATGTAGCCTCCACCTTGCTCCTAGTCTCCACATTGCTCCTAGTCTGCTTTGGGAAGTCACTTTTTTTTTTTAAAAGATTTTATTAATTTATTTGACAGAGAGAGACACAGCGAGAGAGGGAACACAAGCAGGGGGAGTGGGAGAGGGAGAAGCAGGCTTCCCGCGGAGCAGGGAGCCTGACTCGGGGCTCGATCCCAGGACCCCGGGATCCTGACCTGAGCCGAAGGCAGACGCTTAATGACTGAGCCACCCAGGCGCCCCTGGGAAGTCACTTTTATTTCACAGTCCTTCAAAGATCTATAGGCACCATTTATACTTTTCCACACTGTTTCTTCCAGACGAAATGCTGCCCAGTTCTTCTGGCATTCCTCAGAGAATGTGATTTCCTGACTCCTCTTCCTTCTCTACACACTCTCGTCCAGTGGCACTCAACCACAGCCCACAGGGTACTGTGAACCTTTACGCCTCCGCTGCTCAATGTCTGTCACGGAGCGGACACTCTGTTTTTGCTCTGCTGTGTCATCAGGAGCACTGGCTGCCCAAGGGCACATGACAGGTCAAGGCACAACCTGCAGCCATACGTGTTGGAAGACGTGGGGACTCTGCTAAGGGGTCCACAGGAGAGTGGAGTCGGGTCAGTGAACAAATCCAGGCACACGATGAGTCAGTGCTAAAAGGGACAAGAGCAGGGGCACCGGGGTGGCTCAGTCGTTAAGCGGCTGCCTTCGGCTCAGGTCATGGTCCCAGGATCCCGGGATCCTGGGATCGAGCCCTGCATCGGGCTCCCTGCTCCACGGGAAGCCTGCTTCTCCCTCTCCCACTCCCCCTGCTTGTGTTCCTGCTCTTGCTATAAAGAAAATCTTAAAAATAAATAAAATATTAAAATGTCAAATAAAAAAAATCTTAAAAAGAAAAAAACAAATCTAGGGGCACCTGGGTGGCTCAGTTGTTAAGCGTCTGCCTTCAGCTCAGGTCATGATCCCGGGGTCCTGGGATCGAGCCCCCCATCGGGCTCCCTGCTCAACAGGAAGCCTGCTTCTCCCTCTCCCACTCCCCCTGCTTGGGTTCCCTCTCTCGCTGTGTCTCTCTCTGTCAAATAAATAAAATATTTAAAAAAAAATAAAAGGGACAAGAGCAGCCAGATAAACCTGCTCGGGTCATGATCCTGGGGTCCTGGGATGGAGCCCCGCGTCGGGCTCCTTGCTCAGCGGGAAGCCGGCTTCTCCCTCTGCCTCTGCCCCTCCCCCTGCTCGTGCTCTCTCAAATAAATAAATAAAATCTTTTAAAAAATGTGAATGTAGGTTTGAGGATGACAGATAAAGTGACGTTAGCTTCATCATACTTTCTTTTGGTTGTGTATTCTGGAGGAAGTTTGGTTAAAAAGTTTGTGGTTCTAAGGCACTGATGCTTTAGGATTGCTTGTTACTGCCACCATAACCTACCCCATCCTGACAGATAACATCTGCAGAGCGCCATTTGTCCTTAAAGCTTATTTTCAGTATTTGAAAGTAAGTTGTGACCAGAGAAATATCCAGAATCTTTGCTGGTCTTTAAGCTTAGTGCCCACAAGTTCAGTGAGTAATGAAGATGTAGTCCAATTAGCAGAAAAGACAAGACTGAGGCAGAGTGAAAATTCTCGAATACTGCATGCACACACTATCACACATGTATGCAGACAGAGATAGACAGACACAGGGAGAGAAATGAAGGGAGGAAGGAAGGAGATATGGAGAGAATGCTTTAGTGAGAATAGCTAAGACGCCCTGAGCAAATGCTACTTACCAGAACACTGAAGTCCATTGCCTTTGTATCCCTGCTTGCATTTACACTTGAAGGATCCTTGGGTATTGAGGCAATTGGCGTGGAGGCTGCACATATGGGTATTCACGGCACATTCATTTATATCTAAAAATGTGAACATTCCCGTGAACAACTTTGTGGCAGCAGGGCTTGCTAAAAGACTATCCCTTACTATAAGACTACCACTTGGGCAACTCCAGGGCCGACCACTCAACACTGCCAAACAAACCGAGTGGGGCCTGAGAAGGGAGAGGTGTTCAAAACGCCCGACGCCTTGGCCCAGAGCCCGGCCTTTGCCTGACACCAGCACACAGGGAGCTGGGGGCTCCCTGCAGCCCGCCGCCCCCATGGCATCTCGACTACTCATCAACACTACCGAAATCTGTAAGACGTTCAGGGTTTTTTCTTAACTTTTTCATCCGTCTAATTCAGAACTAAATAACAGTACCAGAAAATAAATTCTACACGTGGAAGGGCTTGGGACTCCTAACCAACAAAAGATAAGGGGGCGCCTGGGTGGCTCAGTCAGTTAAGCATCTGCCTTCGGCTTGGGTCATGATCTCGGGGTCCTGGGATCGAGCCCGACATCTGGTTCCCTGTTCGGTGGGGACTCTGCTTCTCCCTCTCCCTCTGCCTGTCTCCCCAGCTTGTGCTCTTTCTCTCTGAAATAAATAAAAATCTTTAAAAAAAAAAAAAAAAGGATAAGGTGGGCTATGAACAGTTGACATCATCTGAATTCATCAGCATTTTGTTCAAAGGCTGCCAGGAGCAGGGTCAGGCTGGTCTGAGCTCGTCTGCTGGATGGAGACCAGGAAAGTTTGCCGAATCCTACCCTAGTGAGAAGTTCATTAGCCAGAAGCTCTTCTCCATCTCACCCGCTCTCCACGCTTTGGGAGACATGCGCACACAAAATAGTCCATTGTTTTTAATTTAGCCACCAAAGGAGCTCAGATGCTAATCTTAATCACTTAGAATCACAAGATGTGTTTCTCTTGGAAGCTCTCCATGTGCATTCCCGCCCTGTCCAGTGGAACCTCCTAGGTATCAGCGAACAGGCTTCTTCTCCCGATGGGTCTGTAGCAGGGCCTGGGGGCCGAGCCCACGAGAAACATGGATTTTATGAGCCCGTGTAGGCCAGCCTTTGTGTTTAGAAAGATCTGAGTGAAGAGCTGTGGAGGCTTCACGAGATGGTTCAAAACCCTGGAACCAACTGTTGCCACAACATGGTTTCGCAGGACATGTCCTGGGATGCTCTGCATGGAGGGTTGAAAGAAATCCTACTTCCCCCCCAACCCATTAGCGTTTCCCATCGTACACACATTTGCTCCACGTTACATGAAGAGGCATCTACAGGGAGCCTGCATCTCCCTTCACGGTAGGGCAGGCCCCGTCCTGCGTTACATCAAGGGCAATGTGAATGCGTCCCAGGGCTCCCAAACACCCCCCTTCACTTGCTCATTCAGGCTTGGAATCCCTTCACTGAAGGCCAAAATATTTTATTTCACACTGAGACACAGAATCTTATCAGAGTAGCTTCGGTGACCTGGAAAGGGCAGATTTTAGGGGATTTGGACCTTGAACCATGACAGGGCCGAACGAGGAAAGAGCATGCACCTTCATCTCCCTCACACATTTTTCTAAAGCCTCCCCTGAAGGACGCTGTTATGAACAGATCAGTGAGATCAAGATCAAACAGACCTTTTTATTCTTCCTTTTGTGCTTTATTGTTCCCATTTTTAGATATGTATCCGGGGAATCAAACATTAAAAAGAAAACCAACCAAATTTTCGACAAATCCACAAAAATCATCTCAAGATATTTGAGGTATTTCCACAAAACAAAACTATATCCCCGACAGCCCCTTACTTTAAACTTTTACTGACCTGGCTTCACCTAATTCATCTCACCAGAGTTCCCTAAAAGCCAGAAACAAACAAACAAAAAAAGTGACTTCTTCTGTATTGTGCAAGTGGTCAGTACAGTAGATTGTTCAACTACTAGACTGAATTGACATCCAAATACCTGTAGACAAAGCCTACAGGTTTGGCAGGGAGAGGGCAAAAGGAAAATGTGCCATGCACTCTTACCTATGCAGTCATATCGGCCCCTGACATATTTCAGTTCGAAACCAACGTGACATTTGCAGTAGTAGCTGCCGAACGTGTTCACACATCTTCGATTATAAGGGCAGACAGCCTTACCGGAGGCACATTCGTCGATGTCTAGGAGGTAGAACCAAAAGGTGTCAGTGATAGCAAACAAGCGCTCTCCCTCGAAAACACACACACACGCACGCACATGCGCACGCGCACATACACAGTTTCTCTGGTGGAAAACTCTGATTATTCTGCTGCCCACATCACGCCCCCCGGGAAGTGTTCTAGATGCCCTCAGCACACTCACAGCTCCTCCTTTACGTGTTTCTGTCACGTTGTACATAACGTTTTCGAGACATCAACTCACTGTCTTGTCGCTACTCACATCCCCGTCTCTCCTGGGGCAGGGAGCGGATGTCTGGCACTTGGCACAGAGACATGACATGCGTGCTGATGGAATTAATATTCCTCTGGCTATGTGTATTGTATGGCGTATACAACTTTTGAAAACCGAGTCAGGTAACTACACGTTAAACAAACCGGATACACACCTTCGATGTCGTCTTCTACGGAAGAATTATTTCATCGGTCAGCTCCCCCAAGGCTCCCACGATACTGACCCAAATACTAGAGACATGGTTTCCTACAACCGCACTTAAACATAAATTGTGGGTCAAGTGTAATGATGTTGTGATGCAACTTGAGCAGACGAGAGGCTTCCCTGCTTTCCTTGAGAGTCAGGTTACTGAGGGGCTGGCAGCTTTGCTGACCCAAAGATCCAGACGCAGGTCTGCTTTTGCTGACCCAAAGATCCAGACGCAGGTCTGCTTTTACTTTACAATGATAAATCGAATACATGTTTTATGTTCTTAACTTGGACCTGTGGTTAAACATGCAAGTTGGTGCTGGCTTATTGTTCTCTTTGCATTCTTAAAATACTAAATATGTGTTGGGCTGACCAAAATAATTCTTCAGGGACCACTTTTGTGTAGATCATCTTTCCCTTCAATAAAAATGACACCCTTCAAATCAGAGCTGGGTAAAAATTGACTTCAGTTTGGTCAAGAATGAGCCTTGTCATATAAATCTTATTTCACCGAGGAATGCTAAACCCTGTGAATCTAATTAAATCTGATTACTCTCAAAGAGCAGGGCCAAAATTTTAATTGTACAGGGATTTTTTAAAAAGTATTTAACTGATTTAGGACCTATTTGGCTGAACTTTCTAAATGCAGCTTACCAAGGTATGCACATTTGGGATAAATAAACGTCCAGCACTGAGAAATGGTTCTACTTCAGTAAATAAGAATATTAAATTGTACAGATATTTGCTTATTTAAATAAAAAAGATTAACAACTCGTTGAACATTCTGATTTGGCTTGATATCCCTTATTAATGCTATGTGCTCACTTGCATATAAGTACCGAAGGATGAGTATATACAGTTTGGTTACTGAACATAATTCAGATCCACCAGGGAACTAAGGCCGAAAGTGTCGCATCAGTCACTGAGGGTGCCTCGTGGGGTGCCCCACCCATCGCCCTTGGCACTCAGTGTGTCCGTACCTGCCTAAGGCTGCACCTGTGACCCTCATCGGGGCTGGGCTGGGTGTGCCGGGGAGTCAATGTTCCAGAGCAGCGCCCCTCCCCCGGTCAGTAAAGAACAGGAGTTGGTGCATAAATCCCCAGCGCCCTTGACCCAGGAGGAAAACTTGGAAGCAGCTTCCCCTGTCTCCTAGAGGGGCACAGATGCTTAACCTGCTCCTTGAACTCAGCCTGCGCTGGGGCCTTCCCCCACCTCCTCCTCAACCAGAGTTCCCGGGGATCACCTCCCAAATCAACTACTTGCTCAGGGTCAGCTTCTGCGGGGCCCAAAACTAAGACACAAAATAAGATGGGGGAGAGCAAGAGACAAAGTTCTAATCCATTGATTTGATTAAATTCAAAGCTATAAAGGAGGGGTCTATCTCCTCCTTTAATATCATGGATTTAATTTGCTCACCATCTCCAAGCAGAAATGATTTTGGAATACTTCAGAGCAACCTTTAAAGACAATGGGAAGCTGGTTACTTGCTAACTTAAACAACGTAGAAAGGATATACTATTCTCAATAGTCTTAGATCTAAAAACGAAAAATATGTAAATCCATTTTTGTAGGAAAATATTAGCTGGAACCCAAAATGGAGCCCAATGGCCCTTGGGATTTCATTCACTGAATGACAGTAAGTAGCAGGTTTCTATGGTAATTGAAGTGAAACATGCAGGGTAAATATACTAAAATAAAATTACCTTTATCCTTTTTCCACTAGGGCATTAGACAATCCCAAAGTAACAGAGAAGTGTTCTTTCTAGCATCCCAAAGTGTGTCTAGAGTCTATGTGGCCAATCGGCTCAGAAACGGGCGAAATCTCTACTTTCAGGAGCTTTCAGTCTAGTCAACAAGCAGATTGTGCTGAATGACAGAGAAGGAATTCAGTAGAGGGGGAAGGAGGAGGAGTGGAGGCGAGCCGGGCTGCCCTACCTATACAGACTCTTCCACTGGGGGCCAGGCGCAAGCCCGAGGACGGACACAGACAGCGCGGCCCCTCCTCCGTGTCTTCGCAGGCGTATTGGCAGCTCGTCACGGCACATGTCCTGGAGTCTGAAAACGTATGCAAGTGTTAGCCTTCTCCTCCCGAGCCAGTAAAAAGCCCTCACTGAGAAAGGATCTCTGCGTTCTAGGACATTTGGTGTCATATATGGGATGTATTACAGGATGAGCATCACTGTCTGGAGACCCAAATGGAATCAGGGCAAGGGTGGTGTCTTGGTGGTGCCACGGTCTCTTCGGTGGGCCAGTGTGTTAAATTTGCCTGTCTTTAGGTCGGGCAGGCGCCCCTCAGTTATCAAGGGCTGCATCCTTCTCTCCTCTTGTACATTTTCTCGTCATGCCTTTATGTCACCCGGCTGGCCTCTCTAGGCGGAAATGTAACCTCTGATGGAGATGATCAATCCGAGTCATCAGGGGGACAAAATCCATTCTACAGATCTCTCCATACATACCTCGCTTCAACGAGAGCCACTCAAGTCGTGAGACCTGGTCATTTCCATGCCTGTATTAAAACGTGGCAAATACGACTGACTGGCTACCCCAAAGCCATCCTGGACCCCTTTTCCTCTCACCACTCCCATCACTGAGGCTTTAAAGTCAGTGACTTGTCTTCATCCCAGCTTCCCTTGCAGCAACAATGGGTGGCCATAGGACCCAGCTGTGGCCAAAGAGATATAAAGATAAGTCTGATGGAGGGAGCGGGGCTTCTGGAAAAGATGCTGCTGCATGATGAAAGGGACAAGTGTGAAAGAGTCATTCATTCACTGGCATTACTCCTCTCCCCTTTGTCAGGCCTCCCTTAAATGTATGTGTGATGTCTGCAGCTGGGGCAGCCATCTTGTGACTCTGAGGTCACAAGCGTGAGAATAAAATCAGTACCCTGAAAATGGCAGAGAGTGAGTCCTTGCTGAGCTGTTCTGGAACTGCCTGCCTCCAGCTTTTTTGGTAAATGAGATAATTTAGGTGGCTTTTTCTGTCACTTGTTGCTAAACACAACTTATCTCACAAAAATGCATTTCCTCAGCAGAAGTCTACTATATATGGATCACAGGTGCCTCCAACAGGGAAGTGCAGTGAATACGCTCCCTTTATCCAGCGCCATCCATAACATGCCGATCACCCAGCGGGACGAAAGAAACTGCCAGGAACCAAGTGAAATAAAATCAGGAGAGGGGTCCAGGACTCCCTGCACACTTTGAGCTCTAAACAGGGAGGCCCGAGCAACCCTTCCACATACAGAACTAGACAAAGAAGGTACACACATCAAGGTAATAGACACAGACATCCAGGTAATATAACAAACATCTACCAAGGATAACATTTCTCCTTTATTCTCTTTTCTCTTTAGTTGCCTTCTTTTAAAATTAGTCTTCAATATTTACCTAATCCTATCCTTGCATTTAGGAAAACATACCTTTTTTGGCATTGATTGGGCTCTCATGGAATGTTTCAAAACATCCATTAGCACAGATCTTTTTAAAAATGTTAAGTGATCACTACAAAAGCCTAGATAGTGGTTCCCGTGATGGTGTATGGAGGGGGGGTTCTGGTAAAGTTCCCCTTGGTAGTGGTTACACGGGTGCTCGCCTTATAAGAATTCATTCAACTACATATTATGTTATATATATCATATATATTATATACATATTTGTCTCTTAATTTATGACAATAAGGATTTTTTAAAAAGACTTCGACTGTCTGCTTTATCTCTTAAGCCTTCTTGCCAACAGAGGATCTAGGTGACTGGTGGTGTTGGGGCCCTTTGCCAAGGACGGAAAACACAAGGACAAGCCAGGGGAGCAGCAAACCGTGCACTAGCCAAGACTGTGTGACTGTGGCAAAGTCCCAGATGGGCTAGGGAGTCCTAACTCTGTAACCCTAGGAAGCTAGCAAAAGCCATAAGCTTCCAGGTTTGGTGGGGGCTACGGTACAGAGGAAAGAGAGATGGGAGCGGGGAAGAGGGGAGGAAGGGAGACAGGCAGGGAGGATGGGTTTGCCTTTCAGCTGCAATATTAAACCTGATTCCCTCTGGATAAATGACTGGATATACTCTTACCTCCCACGGGACATGGGTTTCTCTCTATCACAGAAGGACTTTTCTTTTTCAGGAACGTGAATCGGAATGTATTTCCAACAAGAGTCACTAATCTTTGAGCATGGGGCAAGGGGCGTGAGAAAGGCAGCTGGTGGGAAGAACTGATGTCCCAAGATGGAATTTAAACGTTATCACCTCCCTAAAACAATATTCTTATTTTCCATGAAGAAACCCCATACGCCCTGCATATATAGAGATATAGAATTTATTTTTCTCCCCAATTAGCCTCTTTCTTTAAAAAGCAGGTATCCAGAATGGGCAAATCCAGAGAGATAGAAAGCAGATTAGTGGGTGAGGTGGGGGGGGGGGGGGGGGGGGGGGGAGGAAGAATGGGGAGTGACTGGTAATGGGCACAGGGTTTTCTTTTGGGGTGATGAGGATGTTCTAGAATTAGACAGCGGTGATAGTTGTACAGCATTGTAAGTGTACTAAATGCCACTGAGTTGTACGGTTGAAAATGGTGAATTTCATGTTCTATTTATTTTACCATGATTTTAAAAAAAAAATTGTTCCTATGGCAAACATCTAGTCTCAAAGGATGAGCGCGAGCAGCCTGGCCATTGGAACTTACTCGCACATGTGGCATCCGGCATGAGCATGTGGCCGCTGAGGCAAAAGCACTTGTAGCTCCCGTGCGTATTCACACATCGGTGTTGGCATGGCCGGGGTTTTACTCCACACTCGTTTACATCTGCAGGGGGCAGGCAGAACATGAAGAGAGGCTAAGTGGATCAGGAAACATCAGGATGGAGAGTTGGGTTGGCTTCCCTGGATCCCACCGGTGGGGGTGGGTACACGGGGCAATGACTCACCTCTTCTCCAATCATCAGTAAAACCCCATTCTGAAGGACTGATGACGATGTGGGGCAAACAGGACAATCATGCACCGGCGGAGGGGAGGCAAATGCACACAACCACTTTGGAAAACTGTTTGGCAGAATCTACTGTAGCTAGAGACACGGATACCCATGACCTAGCAATTCCACTCCCGACTAGATCCCCAACGGCAACATGGATGTGCGCCCACCAAGAAAACATGTACTAAAATGATCACAGTAGCACTATTCTTAATAGCCCCAATTGGGAAAGAACCCAAACATCTCCCAACAGAGGGCAGGAGAGATGACTTGTATATTCGTGCAAAGGAATACTATACAGCAATGAGGCTGAACAAACTATAGCTCCAAGCCACAACGGATGAAGCTCACAACCACAAGAGTGAGTGCAAGAAGCTGGAGACAAAGGAGTACGTTAAAAATCAGGCAAGGGGCGCCTGGCTGGCTCAGTCAGTGGAGCATGCAACTCTTGATCTCGGGGTTGTGAGTTTGAGCCCCACATTGGGTGTACGGATTACTTAAAAATAAAATCTTTAAAAAAAAAAAAGCCAGGCACAGGGGCACCTGGCTGGTTCAGTCGGTTAAGTGTCTGCCTTCCGCTCAGGTCATGATCCCAGGGTCCTGGGATTGAGCCCCATGTCGGGGAGTCTGCTTCTCCCTCTGCTCCTCTCCCCACTAATGCTCTCTCAAATAAATAAATTAAATCTTAAAAAAAAGTCAGGCACAACTAATTTGTGGTGTAGAAGGTCAAGACAGAGCTCCTTGGGGGTGGGGGGCAAGTCACTGGAGGGGAGCAGGAGGGGTCTTCAGGAAGGCTACTGAGTTTCTGTTTCTTGGTTATGTGGATGTATTTGAAAATTCATTGAGCAGTACATTGTTGATATATGCACAATTCTGTGTGTATAATATTAGAATAAAAAGCTAGAAATACAATTTAGATACTTCATCCTTTAGTACTGTCCCAGGCTGCCTATGACAGGCGCCCACAGCGATGCCTCCTTTCAGTTGTTCCTGTTTTGGGCAGCCCCACACCGACTAACTTGTGTGGGCTCACACCCTTCCAGAGGGAGCCCTGACAGGCAGCTATCGGTGGTGAGGCTGTAGGATGCCATTTAAGCCTGGGAGGCTATGCTCTAAATGCCAATAATGGTTATCTCCAGGGACTAAGATTGAGGGTGACTTTCTTCTCTGTGCATCTCAGTGCTTCCTAAAAAGAATTTAAATACTAAGAATGAATGACTTTTTGGGGCACCTGGGTGGCTCAGTCATTGAGCGTCTGCCTTCGGCTCAGGTCACGATCTCAGGGTCCTGGGATCAAGCCCCACATTGGGCTCCTGCTCGGGCGGAGTCTGCTTCTTCCTCTGCCCCTGCCCACCCACTCATGTGCTATCTCTCTCAAATAAATAAAAATATTTTTTTAATTTAATTTTATTCATTTATTTGACAGAGGGAGAGCACGCACAAACAGGGGGAGGGGCAGAGGCAGAGGGGGAAGCAGGCTCCCTGCTGAGAGAGGGGAGCCCAACGAGGGACTCAATCCCAGGACCCCGGGATCTTGATCTGAGCCGAAGGCAGACGCCCAACTGACTGAGCCACCCAGGTGCCCAAATAAATAAAATCTTTAAAAAAAAGCAATCATGGGTAGAGGAGCTTATCTTTGGAAATGTGGTCATGTGGGTGCCTCATGGCTTAACTTCTTCAAGGAAGATATAGGAAGGAGAAAAGAGCCAAATTCTGTGTAAGACCAAAATTCAGCAGGGCAACAGGCAAAGCGTACCCTTGAAAATAAAGAAGTGGCTGCTTTCACCTCTGACAAGAACCCTGTACAGGAATTTTCTGACGTCTCAGTGGGACATTTGAAAGCTCTTCGTCCATTGCTTATCCCCTCTACTCTACCTTCTCCTGCATGGGTTCTAACCCCTTCAAAAGGGGGAACTGGAAAAAGCTAATTGGACATTAATGGGAAATCCAGAAATACCCCATCCCTTGGCCCTAACTCAGAGGTGACTCACTCGTCGTGTGGAAGAAGGATTTGGGGGAAAGACACCACGGTGGAGGGCTGAGGCCTGTCACCATTAATGGATATATAAGGACTTTGATCATGCCACCCAGGGGCCAGGAAAGCTGCGGGAACCTGAGCCAACTAGACCACTCCCTCAACACTAATATTTTACCGGGAATTGAAAACCAGCATGAAAAATATCTTCTCTCTTCCAAACCTCTGCAGAAGATATGTTGGTACAGAATCCAGGACGATACAGAGAAACAGGTTTTCTGGTGTGAACCCCTCTGGTAAGGGATGTGCTGGATCATTACTTATGAGAGCACGATCCTTGACGCGCCTCAATCAAGCAGGTGGGTGCAGTTCTCAGAAGCACCCTAGGGTGCTGGCCTCTTCTGGTGGTGGGACAGCAGAGACTCAGAGGTTCCCCTCTGAGCTGCAGGGCTGGTAGCTATTTCAGTGTATGCGGCCAACCTCGGGGCTTGGCAGTGAGGCCTAGGGGTGGCACAGTGGAGTGGCTGCCTGCCCGTCTCTGGGACTCCATCCTTCCCTCCAGAAGGCTGGCAGCCCCAAGGACAGCTGAACTTGATGTGCTCTTAGCCCAACTGCATTATCGGACTGTGGACACTTTCTTAATTACAGCAGGCTTCTTCACGCCCAGGTCTCTTGGCCTCAGCACTGCTGACATTTGGGTCAGATCATTCTCTGCGGTGGGGGCCGCCCTGCGCACTGTAGGAGGCTGAGCACCTCCCTGGGCTCCACCCACTGGATGCCAGGAGCACCCCCAAACGTCTTCAGACCTTGCCAGATGTCCCCTGGAGTACGGTTCCCAGATGGAGCAAACAGAAATACGGATGCCCAGTTAAATTGGAATTTTAGATAATTAACTAATACTTTTTTCGTAGACGTATGTCTCATGCAATATTTAAGACCTACGCACCCTATAAAATTATCTGTTGTTTATCTGCAATTTAAATCTGAACTTGAGATCTATATTTTGTCTGGCAACTCTTTCTGGGGAATAAAATTGCCCAAGTTGAGAACCACTGTGTGTTAATAGTATAAATACACTCTTTAATATCTTCGGATAAACAGCTTATGATAAGTCCTAAAGTACCTTTTAAAATATGTCAATTATAGTAAAAACATGCATGTCATTCAACCCAACAATTCTATTTTCAGACGTTTATCCTATAAAAATACTCAAGGGTGCAAGGATATGTGTAGAATGACGTCTGACTTAGCACAGCTTGTAATGGCGAGAAATTGGAGACAAAGTAGATGAGAGTGGTTAAACGAAGTATTTTTTACACAAATGATAAAAGCGTTTGCATCGGGGCTGAGGATACAGCCTTAAGAAGCACAAGCTAACTCTGTATGTGCTGACCCGTACATGCAGTAAGAATGGACCAACCCAGAGAAGGGCCCTTCAGAGACTGAGGACAAACTGTTCACACTAGTTCAAGGAGGGACTGGGGAGGGGGGAGGGGGGCAGAAACTCCCACTTTTTAACTTATATCCTTTTGCATCGTTGGGGTTTTTTTTTTTTTTTCAGTAAAAAATATGCATTACTTTGGTAGTGGAAAAACACAATGAAAATCATTTTAGAAAATAAAAGTTATTTGACAGGAGAAAAAAAGGCCTTTGATCTGGCATCTTAACAAAAACATCAGAATGACTTTTATACTTTTCTAGAAGAGACTGATTGAGAGACCTAGGTCTGAAACCCTTTCATTTGAAGATTCGACTTACAACCTACAAAATGGCGGGCACGGGAGTGTCTATCACAAACGCTGCTGCAATGATTGCGTAGCTTCTGAAAGCTCTGGGGTACGTCTGTACTTGGACCCCGGCCTGTAGTACTGACCTTGACTGCAGGTTTTCCCGGTGTATCCTGGAAAGCATCTGCATTTGTTTGGTCCCACACACTCACCAAACTTGCATCCAGGTTCACACGTAGCTGTGGAAGGGAAAGGTGTTTTGACGGTAAAAGAACAGGAGTAGTTAGAGAAACGCACGCAGGTCAAACTCAGCAGCCTTCTGTATGGCGGAGAAATCCATGGGGGCACAGAGAGGATGATCTGCTTCCTCTCTAGTCTGTTTTCCCCTTCGGGATACTGGAGAGTGTTTTGTTTGTGAACTAGATCACTCTCCTCCACCCCTCCACCCCAACTGAGTGCGAGTTTATCCAAGTTTATCATAACTTTGCTTAGCACTGCCATGCCTCCAAGTGACATTCAAAGAAAAACAAAGCCTCCCAGACCACAGTCAGCTAGTTTTGCATATAAACACAAAAACATTTAATAAAAGAACTGTGATGTGGGAGCTGGAAGGGACTCCAGAGCCATCCTGGGTCAAGTGCCAAGGTCCTCCTTCTTTCTGTCACTGGCCTCTTCTTTGTCTTCCATATTTTCTCTCCTATTTTGCTTTTGAATGATCAAACTCTATTTTTAAAGCTGTGTGTGATCAGTCAAAATAATGGAGCCACAGACTGTAGGCAGGGAGGCGCAACTTCTAGCCCTAAGGATGGGAACTAGAAGCATCATGAGGAGGAGGATGGTGGCATGATAAAGGCAGGATTTGTTTCTTCTGGGTTTGGTTTTGTTTTTTTTTCACTTCTGTATCCAGACACCTGACACAAATTGGGCACTCCATAAATATTTGCTGGGTGAAAGAAGTGATGGGAGAGACACCAAGAATAGAAAGTTTGACTGGGTTGGGGGCAAGAAAAAATAGTCAAAGATGATGGGATGTTTGAGTCCGGCTCATAGGGAGGAGGTAGGGAGAAGAGGCAGTGGATGGGACAAAAGGAATATGGGAAAACCCAAAGAGAAGGAGGGGAGAGGACAAAAGAAAAATGAATGAGAGAGGAGTCTAGAGTGAGTCAGGAGCCCTGAGCAGCTTCTGGATCTAGTAGGAGCTCAGGAACTAGCCAGCACCTGAAAAGATGACTCAGCAATGGCCCAGGAATGCTGTCTACTTCCCTTCCCGTTGAGTCCCTGGCTCAACCCCAGCATCTCCCCCTTGACCCCAAACCCTATTCTTTGTTAATGTTAACATTTATCTCCCAGTCACCTGGACTCAAAATCCCGTTCATCTCTATCTTCTCTTGTCCCCAAACTCCTCAGTGAGAACATCCTATCCCTGCTTCTACCACCCAAGTCATTCATTGAACAGACACTCATCTAGCTAATGGAAATCATGCTGCCCACAGAGATCTGGGATATTACACTGTACCTCTCCCCACCCCGCCCCCCACCCCCACCCTGCCCCTGCTTCTCCCCACCACAGCCTGTGACCTGGTACTTAACTGATATGGGGTCTAACAGCCTAGCCCCTGCTTTCGGGGCAGGACAAAGTCTGTGGTGTAGAACTCCCTGTGGGATCAGGCTGAAGCTAGACTTCTCTTGAAACTACATCTTTGCCTGGCTCCTTCCCCTATTTCCTCACTCCCTTACAGATTTCTCTGCAGAGCACCCTGCAACAGATGTTTGATACAAGAATCCCCTTTACAGGCTCTACTCTTAGGAAATCTGATGTCAGATACGACATTAAACTGATATTCCAAGAGCACGACTCCGATCATGCCATGCCTTGCACAGAAGTCACCAAATAATCTTTATTGCCCTTTGAGTATCATACAGGTATCATCACCAGGACCCGGCTTCCATCTTAGTTTGTACCTTTGGCCTACTCTGCTCCCTACATATAGGCAACACTGTGGTCAAACTAGATTGTCTGCTATTCTCTAAACTGGACCCTTTCTGCCTCTTCCTGTCTTGTTATCCCTGCCTTGGGGCACCCCTTCCCCACCCTCCAGTGGTTAATATCCTCCTGATCCTTCAAGAGCTACCTTGCATGAGCCCGCCTTCCAGAAGCCTTCAGTGATTTCTCCAGCCATATCAGAATTCCACTCAACTTTGAGAATTCCACAGAACTTGGGCAGGCCTCCCCCATGAAATCAATCAGGCTCCATCTTATGAAATAATATATTTGGCTTCTATCCTTCACTTCTATCTACTACCCGATTCCCAGCCCCTTCAGAACGGGGACTTAAACATTCATCTTTGTTTCTCCTGCTGCATTTAATAGTGCTGTGGGTATGTTAGACACTCAAATAGTTTCGAACAGTAAATAAAATAACCGGTATAGACCTTTTAACAGGGAAACATTTTATGGCTCTGAATAAATCATAAGTGAGAAGGTAAGGAAAAAATGCTTCTCAGCAAAATTCTTTCCCTCCTGGAGACAAAAAAGAATTTTGCTTTCCAGTGTCTATTTTGTTATGGATATGCTCTTGGAGATGCAGCTTTAAGTTTAGATGTTAGAAAAATAATTTTTTTACTTTTTTAAGCCTTGAATGCCTCTGATTGCTCCCTGGAAAGTTATTTCGAATGTGGGCCAGATAGGAAAGCCAGGATCAACGCCAAATAGAACATAAGAGAAATGGTGAATAATACCCTTGCTGCTATAAGGTCAAAGCTCCAGCAAGATGTTTTCAATTTCCAGCGACCTTGGATCTGTGACTTGTACAGCCAATCTTCAGCACAGGGAAATTTAGTTTATGTCTAAAATGGCCTGAGATTTAAGTGTACTTTAGCTAGACTTCTTGTTCAATCCTCCCTCTAACTCTTCCATCTGCAGCTGTTCATTGGGATTTGTTCAGGGACGACTCTTACCACATCTTGCTAAGTGACATACATTTGAAGGTTAATGATACAGAGCTGAGCCATCCCGCCCTGGGAGCAGATTTAGGCAGGGCAGGAGCCAAGATCTAGAAAGCTCCAGCATGGAGTCAGGGCCTCTGGAGGAACGAAGGGTGAACAGATGGATGGAAGAGGAGTCCGGGAGGACTGGGATCTCCCAGGCTGGGGTGCAACTCTGCCTGTTCGGGCAAGTGGGCATGGGTTCTCATCTCATTACCACACAGCCCACGCTCTGACTTAGGAATCCGAGATCTGGCAATCAGGGGCTCATCACCCCGTTACTTGGTGCTTCAAGGAGCAGATGACTTTACCGTCAAGAAGGACCATACAAATTGGATATAATACAATAACAGATTTTAGATACAAACATCATTGCAATTTAATACCTGAACATTTCACCAGGGCAGCGGGGGTGCTGATGAGCTCTTGCACTTGCCAAACATGCCTACTGAGCATTGATTGTGCTTGAACCCTCGGCACATGCTCTTTTAACAGCTCGCTTTAAATTCTTTCCTGCCTATGGTATTACATTGTCCACAAAAACATCAAGAATGTGACCGGCTGTCTGCGGCGTGGCCAAATTGCTTTGATTTAGTTACAGAGTAGACCTTACAGAAAGCCAAAGCTCACCCTCATTTATTCACCAGAGACATGTAAGTTTTATGGCAGGAGGTGCTGAGGCTCGTGTAACTCTAAGACTCCAAATCATGCGGTCCACGTGGTTTTTGCCCCTTTCCACCTGACAGCCTTCACATAAAAATGTGCTGTGTCTAGAAAAAGACTACAGCAACATGTAATGCCTGCATCACATGTGCTTTGAAGGGACAGGAGAGTCATCCGTCCTTTCTGAGTCAAGGGTGATTTAGGAGATATTTTCTATGCATGCCAGGTAATGAGCATACCCTTTAATGCTTACACTCTTTCCCCTCTGAACTAGGAATTAATCTCTCCACGTTGCTGACGAAGTGGAGCCTCAGCCAGCTTACCTACGCACCCAAGGTCACCCACGTCATTCTGACATCCCCAAGACAATGCCCTTGATCATGACACTATAGACCCAGTCAGCGTGAGGACCCACCCTCTTTTTGAATTGACAGAGCC